CCTCTCTTCCGAGGGCACTTATTCCCTAAGAGAAGCTCACTATGGATTCTGTGGCAGGGGTGCCAAGCTGCCACTCTAAGGATCCCCAAGTGATGTCCAGGCTTGAGGTTGGAGATCTTCTCCGTAGTAGGACCTATGAGGCTATCACTTCCCTCACATGCTTTGTGTTAGCCTCCACTGGGAGAGCAGTGAACACAGGACCGCACAACACTTTTTGCCAGCAGGCATTTGTTGGCCCCTCTCTACTCCAACTCTTCCCAAATCGTTTTATTAATTCCTGATCCACAGAAGCAGCAGTCAAGAACCTAGTTTACAGGAGGCAAACAGACACACCTTCCCTATTCCTATGCTCCCCTTCTCTGGTACTGGGATATTCCAAGCTTCTGGACATTCTTTTTTCTCCTTTGAGTTTCTACTTAGCCCCACAATCGACCCCTCTTACAACATTAACATAAACCCAGCAGGCCTCCGGTTCCGCCCAAACAGGCTCCAGTTGTTGGCAGAACTGGAATTATGAAAGTCATCTAGACAATTCAAGCAAATACATTTTAGAGAGGTTTTTGGCCTCAAAAACACACACACACACACACACACACACACTTTTTTGGGTATGAAATTGACTTCCTGTGGCTACACTTGAGTGTCCCGACATTCGACATTAATATATTTGGGGAAGAATAGTTATCATTCATCCTGACCACTGGATTTAAGTACATTTAGCTGAGATTTAATTTGCATTTCTTTTGTAAGTTACCTTGAATTTAGTAGCTCTTCCCTCAAGTTAAAACAAGTATCAAAATGCACTAGGCGTTTCTTAGTCAAGGATGAGACCGAGCGCAGGATGGTCAAATGGGTGGCGCAGGCTAAAACAGAAACTTGCAAACAGGTGTGGTTGTTTGCAGGCTCAAAGACAGTTGAGGGGCACCGTCGCCTTCCTCACCCCTACAGTTTTAGCCTTTTTTGCAACCTCAAAATTTGCCAAATCGCTTTTATTTTTCAATTAAAAAGCGAATCAATCGCTTTCAAACACAGCCCCCTCCAAATATACATACTGTGCAGAGATGCGACAGGGGCGTAGCGACCATGTGTTACACTTTCCACTCCTTGGAGGTGGGTTAGAAATTACGACTTTCTTAGGTCGTGGGCAGAAAAACGTGTGGGCTGGGGTTTCTCGGAGGGAGAATAAGTTCTGATTCTCTAGGGCGTTTGTAAGCCGCGTGTAAGATGGCCCAGACCAGAAACCAGCTTTCCCGCATCAGCGTTGGGATTTGCTTCTCTAGGACTCGCGGCCTCAGGGTGATTTTAGCTCCCTAGGGGCAGGGCCTTCTCTCTGGGCAAGTGACAGGGGCAGCCCACTCTCTCCGAATACACCCCTTGCTCTCCTTGCTCCAAACTGGAGACAGACGGAGCAGATCGATGACTAGCAGCACCAGGCAGGAGGCACCCGCTTTCCTTCAGCGCCGCACGGGAATACACGCTGCCCCGCGCGGGATTCAGTTCACTCTCGGGGGTCGAGGTACAGAGATCCCAGCATCTTTTTTATGGTCACAACTGAGACAATTGTTATTTTAATTTGGCACTGTGAATAACAGGTAACGAAGGAGACTTCTTACTTGCACCTAGTTTTACAACTATTTACCAATGGCAATTAACCTGGAGTTGGGTTGAGTTGAATCAATCTTCCTCTCACTCCGATTTTTCTCTTTCTCTTGACCCCATCCCGCCGTATATCAGACACTAAATTTACAATACAAATAGTTCAATTCTTTCCCAGGTTACAATATTTACATGGAATAAAGGGGGGTTGCTTTTTGAAATTGGAATCTTTGGGGATCACTAGCCTCCTCCACTTTCCATTTCTACCTAGACCTTGAGAATGCGGCGCCTGTGGGTGTGTCAGCAGGTCACTGGTAGCTCAGGCGAAAGGTCCAGGCGGGAGATTGTGTGCCACCGCCGTGTTGGAGTCCCCTTGAGGAAAGAAAAAGTTTCGTTTGTAACGAAGTGAGAGGCAGAGGGAAGCTGCACCCGGTCCAGCGCCAGGCTGCTGCGCACCACCTTCTTGCCTCAGCCTCCCAGCGGAAATGGCAGGGCGCTGGGTTTAGATCTACATCCCAGCAGAGCATTCTCGCAGGGATGCAGACGGCCCTACATCAGCTCTCGTCTTACTCGATTCAGCATAATTCCCGCAGACAGAGAACTTCACCTTCTCCCAGGTCAGATTCTGAGGTCTATTGAAGTGATGGATTTAGCCCAGTCTGGAAGTTAATGAAGAGAGGAAGAGAGGGAAGAAGGGGACCAAATAAGAATAACAGTTTTTTAAATCTCAGAAGTGAATAATACAAGTGGCAAAAGATAAACAAAAATTTCAAAAATCTCCTCAAACTCAAGCTCAAGCAGCCACCCTTAAAAGGTCAGTGCTTTGGAAACGAAGGTTATCAAAGTGCTTAAGACCTCTCAGCTTTTCCAACTTAGACCTATATGAGCGCTTTGGCACTCAGAGTCAAACTCCATCCATGGGTCGTGCCGCTCAAGTTTTATTCTTGAGCCATTTGTTTCTATTTCTTGCGAATTAAGTTTGGGCTTAATGATCTCACCCAAACTGCTGTAGTGACCACCCCCAATGGTGTGTTACCTTAACATCCTGAAATTTCAAAATCGTGCAAGGTTCTTCCTCCTTATGTATACAGCTCAATCCTGCCGGGAATTTAAAGAACCACCAGAGATGGAAGAGATTGAGAGGGAATAAGGAAACCACCCGCCAGCTCCTAAACGCTAGGCATCCATCCGATCACCACAGGTCAGAAGTCGGGCCATTTCCATCTCTCAAAACAACCGTGCAATTGAGGGCATGGGCTAGAGTTTCGGAGACAGTTTTAAGATCTTACAATCCCCGGGGGTAAACAGATACTTTTGTATCCAAAGGCTCCACCTCATTCTTGGTGATTCTGCTCTCGTGTAAATTCAAAACAAATAATAATTAAAGGGGAGAAAAGTAAAAAAGAAAGAAAAAAGCCCACTGCTGTCATGGCTAAACATCACACGAGAGATAAACATTCCCATTAAGCTGATCCCGTTACCAGTGAATTGAGTAAAACTATAAATGATAACGATCGCGCGAAGACCCAGGGATGAAAAGAAAAGTAAGAGAACAGAGAAGGAAAGCGGGAGGTGGCAAAGATGGAAGAGGACGCTTACTTCGGCCTACAAGGGGATTAAGGACATCTATAGGCTTAAGGAGCAACAAATTAATTTGCACAATTCTGGGAGAGCCCAGATGGCCTTTAATTAATCCCTTCAAAAGAAGGAGCTAGGCCAGGGCTGCGCCGGCTGCCTGCTCCATTAGCTCCATTTTATAAGAGACCAGACTTGGTTCGAGGTGAGGCGCCGCGAGCTCTTGGGGGAAGGGGGTAGGGTGACGCGAGCAGGAGAGGGGGCAGTAGGGAAGAAAATGAACTGCTTTTCCATAAAAGGGTTGGGTTTTCATTATTCTTCTCTTTAAAAAGTAATACCCTCTTCGTCTCTACTCCCCCCTCCCTTTGCCCATTTTATTTAACACAATTAATTGAGGCGTCTACTGCCCTGCGGCCGAACCGCACCACTCGCCAGGCCCCGCCCCCTGGCTCCACCCACAGGAGAGAAGGATGTGGGAGGGGCGGGGACAAGGCGGGCGCGGCATTACGGCGCGCCCTCTTCAGCCAATCAGAAGGTGAGGCGCTCCTTAGTAGGCGCGCCCCAGGGGCGACGCGAGGCCCAAGGCTGTACCCTATTGGAGACGGTGGTTACGCCCCCGGCCTGCACCCAGCTCCTCGGCCCCGCCCCTCCCGGCCGACTCCGTGTGACGTCCCCCAAAGTTCTTATTTTGGACCCCCCTCTTCCCCCGCCCTTTCGTTCCTCCTCTAAAGAGGGGTAGGGAGTGATGCAAATGTTTTATTACCTTTGAGACATTCATCTGAACTGTCAGGCCCGGAGGGAGAGAGGAGAGGAGAGTGGAGAGCCGCGGAGAGGGTCAGCTTGGCCAGAGGACAGGACTTAGAAGAGCGAAGCCTGTAAAGCTGCGAAGAAAATGCGAGAGAGGAGAGGCAAAGGCGGCGAGTGAGAGGAGGAGAGGGCGCTGGGGGGGTGGGGCAGGGGTCGCCAGGCCTGTTTGCAGAAGTGGACAGACAAGCAGAGCCGTAACCGCAGCCATCAGACTTTTCACACGTAGTCTTTGTTTGTGTGTGTGTGTGTGTGTGTTTGTGTGTGTGTGTGTGTGTGTGTGTGTATTCTTTCTCCCCTTTTTCTTTTCAATATTTCAACTCTAGTGCTCGGTAGCCCAGAGGCGAAGGCGGGTCAGCGCGCGGAATCTGGGAGCTCGGGGATTGGTGGCACTGCCTTTTCTGGCGCAGCTGCCCGGGGCAACGCTGGCGGAGGAAACCCGCCCAGAGGCGAGATACTCCCGCGGTCTGGATGCGCTCTGTCCCTGAGCGCAGCGAGCCCCAAGTGCGAATCCGCCTGGTGAAGGAAAGAGCAGGGCTGCCGAGTAAGATTAGAGGAGCGTATCGGGCAGAACCTGGCGTCCTTTGAACCCCGCTAAAGAAAGCGAGCCAGCCCCCATCCTCCAACATCAAAGTGACTCTTAACTTTGTTACAAACTCTCTGGGGCCGGCCTGGGGTTTGTTTTGCTTCTTGTGGGGAAAAGAGGAGTAGCGCACTTCGAGCGGCGAGGAAAAGTGAGGAAGAGAGAAGAGATCAAGATTGAATCCAGGACTAAGAGCGAAAGGACAGCCAAATCCACCCGGGCGCCCGCTGGTCTCGGCGAGCCACCGCCTTGGACATTTCTGCTGCGCAGCTCGGAGAGCAATTCTCGGCAGCTGCGTTCTCGGCCCAGTTGGCAGGTCGCCTCCGGGTGCGCGGAGCAACTCCTCGTTCGCGCCCTCCACGCTTCTCGCTCCCCTAAGCACCGCCGGGGGCACCAGCCGGCGCCTTCGCTGCGTGGCTGCAGGCTCCGGCCTGGCCGTGGGATGTTAGCGGTGGGGGCGATGGAGGGCACCCGGCAGAGCGCTTTCTTGCTCAGTAGCCCGCCCCTGGCCGCCCTGCACAGCATGGCCGAAATGAAGACCCCGTTGTACCCCGCCGCGTACCCCCAGCTACCTGCCGGCCCCGCCTCCTCCTCGTCCTCCTCGTCTTCCTCATCGTCGCCCTCTCCGCCTTTGGGCGCCCACAACCCAGGCAGCCTTAAGCCCCCGGCCGCGGGGGGGCTCTCGTCCCTGGGCAGCCCCCCGCAGCAACTCTCGGCAGCCACTCCACACGGTATCAACGACATCCTGAGCCGGCCCTCAATGCCCGTGGCTTCAGGGGCCGCCCTGCCCTCCGCCTCTCCCTCCGGTTCCTCCTCCTCCTCTTCCTCGTCCACCTCCGCTTCCTCGGCTTCGGCCGCTGCCGCCGCGGCTGCTGCCGCCGCAGCCGCTGCCTCCTCTCCAGCGGGGCTGTTGGCCGGCCTGCCCCGCTTCAGCAGCCTGAGCCCGCCGCCGCCACCGCCGGGGCTTTATTTTAGCCCCAGTGCCGCAGCTGTGGCCGCTGTGGGTCGGTACCCCAAGCCGCTAGCGGAGCTGCCCGGCCGGACGCCTATCTTCTGGCCAGGAGTGATGCAGAGCCCGCCCTGGAGGGACGCGCGCCTGGCCTGCACCCCTCGTGAGTACGATCGCCCGTGCGCAGTTTGTGCGCGTTGTGCCCGCTCTCGGGTCAGGGCCCTTGGTGTGTATGCACTGGGTCCACCCTCTTGCCTCCCTAGTAGTTTGGCAACGCCAGAATCGCATGATTTAGTCTGTGCCAGGCCGTTCAGTGAGGGATTCTCGTTTTCCTGAGCTCGCGTGGTTGCGTTCAAGCTCCTTCCTCTCTCCTGGTCTTGGGCATGCTTCGCGGACCGGGTGTGCACGCGTCCTCGTGGAACACAACGCGGTGCAGGGCGTTTGTCTCATCCGAGGCCTCCGCCGCTCCTGGTTCAGTCCAGCTTGAACCGCGGGCCCGGCTGGGTTAAAGAACTGGGAAGGGCAGGAGAGGCCATTGCACCCTACCCGCACCCCTGCTTTCCCGGCTCCGGCCTGCGGACCAGGGTTCCACCCTCGCCGGCCTACCTGGCCTTCACTCTGCGAGCCGATGGGAACCCACAGCAGCGAGCCTTCCACAGCCCTGAGCGGAGCGCGTGTGTTTGCACGTACGTCTCATCCCTGGGTGGCCCCAACTCACTTCGCTCTCGCCCCCCGAGTACAGTAAGCGCGAGTGAACCCATTGAAGACAGGCTCGCGGCTCCCCACCGCTGGGCCCTCGCTTTTCCACCTGCGTTGGCCCTGGGGGGCAGGGGCGCGTTCGGCCCGGGCACAATGAAAGGCATAGTGGCCCTCAGCATCCTAACACGAGAAAGAACCAGTGGAAGAACAAGGTGATGGGACAAGGACCTGGAAAAATGCAACATCTCTCAGGGACCTTGCTTGAAACCAGCTGAGTTGCCCCGGAATCACTCTAATATGGGTAGTTGGCCACCGCACCCTGGAACCTCCCAGACTCCCAGGTGGCGTTCGGGAGCCAGCCCCAGGTCCTTTTCTCGCTCTGTTCTTTGCTTTTGACCGAGTGCCTGAAGTTTTTTCTAGGTCTCCGGATCTCTTTAGTGTTGTTGAGCGGTAGTAACTAAGAGAAGTTGCGAGAGCCTAGTGGAGGCTCCCTTGGGAAGCCTCGGGACAGAGGGCGGTCCAGGCGGATGAGGGTGTTGAGGAGAAGCTATTGTATTCGTTTCGATGGCCAAGTAGGGACCGCCAACAAAGGCGGCGCCCCCTCCCCCTCGGGCGCAGCAGCGTTAGACTTAGGGCCGATTTCGCTCTCTTGTGTGCAAAGTACAAGGAACCTTTTGTTGCGGTGGCACAGGTTAGGAAAGCTTTCAGGGAAAAAAAAAAACTAGTCATCCTCATGCAAAGGCTTCGGGGCCAAGCGAGCACCCACTGGACGAGAAGGCTAGAGCGGCCTTTCCCCCGCACTTCTCAATTCACTAAGGCCTAGCTGTTCAGCTCCGGCAAACTTTACCAATGTGTTCCCTGGATCTTTGACGTCGGTGTTGGGCAGAAGGTTATTTACTGCTGCTCCAGACATACCCAGCTTTTAAAAAACAGGTGGGATAAAAAGGCAAAGGGGAGGCGAGGTGGGACTGGAAGCACCACGACGCTTCTGGTACCTGCCGCGGAATAAGCTTTACTTTCCCACCAAAACATTGTTTTGGGAGTTTGTTTCATTTCACTGGAGCCTCCTGTAACCGATTATTTTCACTCTGTTCTTGTTTATCCATTCTCTCAGATCAAGGATCCATTTTGTTGGACAAAGACGGGAAGAGAAAACACACGAGACCTACGTTCTCCGGCCAGCAGATCTTTGCCCTGGAGAAGACTTTTGAACAAACGAAATACTTGGCAGGGCCCGAGAGGGCCCGCTTGGCGTATTCTTTGGGGATGACGGAGAGTCAGGTCAAGGTGAGTGGACCTTGCAAACCTCCAAGGATAGCCATCCCCCGTTTACTGTAGCTCGCGCGCGCACGCACACGTATACACCAATTTAACAACCAGCCGCCTGGGGTGCGGGTCTGAGGAGTCTGGGGAGAAGATGGGATCAGCAAAGGGGGTCGGGGTGGGGTTACAAAGGCTCTAGGAACTCCCAGGAGGTCAAACTGTTGATGAACAAAAGGAATCAAGCCCCCCCGCCTTTGAAATTAGGTTAATCTAGATAGCAGCATGTGCTGGGGAACTCGCCATTATTAGAGAATAAAAGCATTACATAAATATCAGCCCTGAGAATAGATCAGGCCAGTTAGATAGCTTCTATTTATTGTTTGTAAAGATATTCAATCTTTTGTTGGTCAATTCAGGCTCCACGAGTTTTATAATTTCTTAATATAGATCAGCGTTATAGTGCTACTATATTAACTTGCAGGTTTAAAAAAATAAATCCACAGGATCTAACCAGTTAGCATGAATGACTCTGCTTTTAGTTTACTGAAGACAGTCACTTTGGAACAGTAATGTTCTAAATGAATTGACAAGGTTATTAATTTATTATGAAACTGAATCCTGTTTAAAATAAGTTTATCAACATATGTGGTATTTTATCATTTATGACAACATTTATAATTAAAATTTTACTTTGCTTGTAATATATTTCCAGAGAATAAAATTTTAGAAATGTTTCCTTAAAAACAAAGGAATTGAGCCAGCTAGATAAATTAAATCTAGTGGTTTCCTATATTTCCAGTACTCTCTTTTGTTCCTTTTCTTCATTTGTTAGAGTTGGGTTTTTTTAGGGGGCTGTGTTTGTGTGTTTTAAGTCCATTTTCATTAGTCTAATCATTGTTGTTTAAGTAAGAATAACTGTTAACAATGTCTTCTGGTTAGAGTGTATGTCCCCCTGGACAAGCATCATAAAATGCATTTCAGAAGTGATTTTGTATGTGACCATTAGAATACTATCACAGTTAAAATTATTTTTGCAGTGGTTGGTACATAGCCTGCCACAGTAATCTGGAGGTCTCCATTTGTCACCGTAAATATGTCTGCTGGCTCGAAGTGAATTATTATAGCAGTATAAAGAAAATCAAAATCACTTTCTTAACAATTCCGATTCTTTAGATAAAATACGTAACAGATGGGAAAATGGATGAGAAGCATAAAGAGAAGATAATTCAATATCTTTGGGAAATTGGTTGCTTATTGCTGATGCTTTAGGTTAATGTATGTCAAACATGTCAAAATATCGTGAATATGCTTAAATATTTTTATATAAAATGAATGGTGGAGAGGAACAATATTAAAGTAATATTTGAAAGACTAGACATGCTAATAGAAGGAAATAATGTAATTGTCAACATTTCATTTTTTAAAAAAGTAACTGATGAAACTCTAGTCTTGACTTTGGTTTTATAAAAAACATTAAACCAGACACACACACACATCACCACCACCACCACCACTACCACCACCACCATTGTGATGATTTTGACTGGGCTATTAAATATTTTCATGCATTTATATTGGTTATTGTTGGTGATGTGAGGTTTCTATTTTGGCAGATTAAAAAAAAAACTTTACATCATGTGCTGCAAGGGTAAATTGGGAGGGGTGTTTACTTACCACGTTTGTGTGTATTCAGACCTGAGATTAAGTGAAACAGACATATCCAAAAGTGAAAAGGAGAATGAAGATAATTGGGATAAATGCTATTCTCTCTCCCACAAATCACACGAAAAATCAAGTACACTTAGATTATTTGGAATACGTTAATCTAAGTAAATAATATAACGAAAAAAATCACCGTTATTATGGGGCAGCTTTTCAAAGGGGAAAAGTTTTCTACTTTAAACTAGAAAGTAGGAAGCGCACTCATTTTTTGGGAAACTCATTTTAAGTGTCCAAGTTTTTTCTCTTCTGAGAAATGGCTCACTGACAACCTCAATACTCTTGTGTTACCATCGCTATGGCAACGGCAGTCAGTTTGTTGCTGTCTGTTACTCAGAGGAACCTGGGGCAATGGAGACTGAATTTGACGGCCCAGACAAGGGAGGTCTCTGAGGGAGGGTGGCAAGCTGTCAGGGGCCCGCAGGAGCGACATCGGGATGCGAGGGAAGTAGCACTACTGGGGTCTGCTCGCGTTAAATTCCTGCCGCCATTGTCTCCCCTCTCCTTCCCTGGTTCGGGCCACAGGTCTGGTTCCAGAACCGCCGGACCAAGTGGAGGAAGAAGCACGCGGCGGAGATGGCCACGGCCAAGAAGAAGCAGGACTCGGAGACCGAGCGGCTCAAGGGGGCTTCGGAGAACGAGGAGGAGGACGACGACTACAACAAGCCGCTGGACCCCAACTCGGACGACGAGAAAATCACACAGCTGCTGAAGAAGCACAAGTCCGGCGGCGGCGGCGGCCTCCTGCTGCACGCGTCCGAGACTGAGGGCTCGTCCTGAGCGCCTGCCGCCCGGCCTTGCCGCCCCTCTCCCCGAGGGGCCCTTTGCTATTTTCTGAGATGTACATATCTATTTTTTTAAGCTAGAAGTTGAGGGGGGTGGAGGAGAGAGACTCGGGGGTTGATGAGGCTGAAAACACCATGAAATGCACTGTGAGAACAACGCAACCGAAACTCGCAGCTGGGTCACCCTCCCAGCCGGGTTGGGTCTTCTAGTCCCGCACGCCCCCCCCAGGAGGGAGCGGCCTCAGCGTCCGCCAGCCCACGCGCCCCTTCCCTGACGGATCCCGAGGGGTCCTGACCCCCGCGCACGGCGGGGTGGGGGCGCAGGGACGGGTTCTCCAGAATCAGCACCCACTGCGCGCGGGACCTCGGAGCTTCGCGGGCGGGCGGCCGCCGCAGACGGGAAGAGGGACGTTTCTCCCCCCACAAACTGCTGTGCGGACCAAAGTAACCTGTTGAAGGCCCTTTGTAAATAAATCGTGAGTCACACTGACTAGAAGTTACTTTATTGTGAATATTTAAAATGTAAAGTGCTTTTTTGAATTTCATATAAAAAGATGGACCTCCTCCTTCCTTCTACCGGTCCCCTTTTAAGAGTTATTCAAACCATTCGTTCCCCTTTTATTTTGAACTTGAGAAGCGTAGAAATGAATGTTCTCGGCCTCCCTCTCCTCTCGCTCCTCTGCCGGGTTTGGGTTTGTTGGATCTCACTTTCTCCCTCATGCCTTCCATCTCTTCCCCCACCGCCCCCTGGCTCCGCGCCCGCCTCCCGCCTCCAGGACTTGAAGTAGAAGACATGGAACTACGGAAGGCCTCAGACCTGCCTCTCCGTTCCTCTCTGAAATTGCACAGTCGTTTGTTGCTATTTATTAGTGATTTGAAGAAAGTATTGGGGAGGGAAGGGCTACAATAGCTTGTATTTAATTTAACTCCTTTCTGATAAAAATGCGTGTTGAAGTAGATGGTGGGAATTGTTACAACTGCTCTGGGTCAGAAACATAAAAATCCATTTAGTTGCTGTAATTGAATTTGAAGTGTTTTGTATCATAAGGATACTATAGACTATGTAAATTGTTTTCTTTTTTTAAGCTAATAACAGTTGATATATTAGCATCTTTAACCTTTATTAATTTATATAAGGAATTCGGTTTGTAAAGAGAAAGAAATCCCCTTTGCAAGACCAGTTAAATGTAATGCACTTTCTGTTTCAAAGGATAAATCAAATTAAAAAAGTTTGAAGACGTCTGTTGCGTGGAGTGAAAGGATACAGATAATCTGATCTCATCAGAGATCTCAAATAAAAGTCAAGACCACAAAAATTTTACATTGGTTTCTTGGGTAAAATAGTTGTCACATCATCATCATCATCATCATCATCATCATTATATTTATTATTACTATTATTATTATTAATTTGGAAGAGTCGGGTCACATCTCATTCTTTTGGACTGGGAAGATATAAGAAATGCAGCCCCACTCATAGGGCTTCTTGAAGAGACTTGTCTAGCAGGCAGCTTCTGATGTCTGTGTTGTCTAATTTTTTTCCTGATGGCTTTTTCCTATTTGAGAAAGTCCTGGGGGAGGGGTGGGGTTGGGAAGACCTCATTTCCATATATCCCAGTTAGCTTGCTCACTTAGCTTGGAGGAGGTAGAGGAACCCGCTGGCCCAGCAGTACTGCTGTTTCCTTGCTAACATTTCGCCCTCCTCCCCTTGTAAAAATGCAGAAGTTGGTGGAAACACAGGAACTCTGATTTTTGCTAACCATTACAATAAAGAAGGATGAATTTAAAGAAAGCTGCTTCTGATCTGAAAGTCTTTAGGGTTAAGGAAGCAGTGTAAAGATGGGAATCAGTGGTAGAGGGCTGTATCACTGTCTTGGGATCTTTTTGTTTTCAGACCCTCAGTTATAGGCTCAGTGAAATATAGTTATCCCTTTAGTGTTTCAGGTTAATGAGCTTGTGTTCAAAGACAGAAAAATCAATAGAACCCAGTAGATTCTTCAGGCTAGTGTTAGGTAAAGAAAGAGTATGTCTGTTTTGTTTCTTTGAAAATAAAAAGCATTGTGAAAACGAATGAAATTGTCTAAAGGAAGTTATTATAGAATATATTTCTGATGGCGTGGTTTAGTAGAAAGAAAGGAAGCAAATCTGCCCTATTTTCTCTAGTTCACCTGTGAATTTCCCAATAAATGTCAAACTTCTGAATTTCTGTGTTCTTAGAAACACAGACTAAGCTGTGTGTCCTTTAGAGAGGCAACTGTTTCAAAAGAGGCTTTGCGGTGCTGGGATGATGTAATTTAAATCTTAGCTGTAAACGGTTCCTTCCTTCCTTCCTTCCTTCCTTCCTTCCTTCCTTCCTTCCTTCCTTCCTTCCTTCCTT